CTGCTTCCTCTTCTTCCTCTGCTTCTGTTTCTACAGGAGACTCAGGAGCTGCTTCATCCTCTGCTTCTGTTTCCACAGAAGACTCAGGAGCGGCTTCATCCTCTGTCACCTCAGAGCGTGCTTCTATTTCCACAGGAGTCTCGGGAACTTCTTCCTCTGCTTCTGTTTCTACAGTAGGCTCGGGAACTGCTTCCTCTGTTTCTGTTTCCGTAGAAGACTCAGGAGCGGCTTCATCCTCTGTCACCTCGGAGGATGCATCTATTTCCACAGGAGTCTCGGGAACTTCTTTCTCTGCTTCTGTTTCTACAGGAGTCTCGGGAACTGCTTCCTCTGTTTCTGTTTCCATAGAAGACTTAGGAACGGCTTCATCCTCTGCCACCTCAGAGGGTACTTCTGCATCCCCAGGAGACTCGGGAGCTGCTTCCTCTTCTTCCTCAGCTTCACTTTCCACAGGCGACTCAGGAAGTGATTCATCGTCTGGCCCCTCAGGGATATGGGCCTGTGGAGCTGCTTCATCCTCTGCTTCTATTTCCTCAGGAGACTCAGTAGCTTCTTTTTCTGCTCCTTTATCCGCTGATGACTCAGGAGCTGATTCATCCTCTGCCGCCTCTGATGGCGCTTTTGTTTTCACAGCAGCTTCGGGAGTTGTTTCCTTTTCTTCCTCACTCACGTCTCCAACTGGCACTCCCGCGTCCATAGGCGACTCAGGAACTGTTTCTTCCCCTTCCTTTTGATCTAGAGCCTCTGTTTGCGTAGGAGCCTCAGGGGTTGATTCTTCTTCTATGTCTTTAGATAGTTTTCCAGCATTCACAAGGGCTTCAGGAGCAACTTCCTCTGCTTCGGTATTCATGGGCGACTCGTAAACTGCTTCCTCTACTTGGGTATCCCCAGGAGCTTCAGCAGGTAGTCCCTCAGCCTCACTTTCCAGAGGTGACTCCTGTGTCTCTTCAGATGGTACTTCTACTTCCGCAAGAGCCTCAGGACCTGCTTCTCCTTCCAGAGGCAACTCAGGAGCTGCTTCCGCCTTTACCTCTTCAGATAGTGTTTTAGCATTCACAAGGGCCTCAGAACCTACTTCTTCTTCCACAAGCAACTCAGGAGCTACTTCAGCCTCTACCTCTTGAGATGGTCCTTCAGCATTCACAGGAGCTATGGGACCTTCTTCGTCCTCTGCCTCTTCACCTGTTGTTTGAATATCAACAACGACTTCAGGAACTGGCTTTATCTCTGCTTCATCGATTAGTTCTTCCTCCTCCGCTGAAGTCTCAGGATGTGTTTTCTCCTTTGTCATTTCAGCTGTTGCTTCAGTATTCACAGGTGACACAGGAGCCGTTTTCTCCGCTGCCATTTCAGCGTGTGCAACCTCTCGCACAGGAATCTCAGCACCTACTATTTCCTCAGCTGGCCCTTCGGCATCCACAGGAGTCTCAGGAATTATTTCTTCCTTCCCTTCTTGAGCTATCGCCTCAGAATCCAAGATAGCCTCAGAAGCTGCTTCCTCCTCTGTCTTTGCAGCTAGTGCTTCAGAAGCCACCTCTTCCGATGGTGCTTCGGCATTCTCAGCACCGGCTTCTATTTCAGTATCCAAAGAAGCCTCAGGAACTTCGGGAGTTGCTTCCTTCTCTACCTCTTCACATGGTGTTTCAATATCCACAGGCGCCTCAGGTGCTAGTTTCTCCTCTGCTTCCTCAGTTGATGCTTCGGCATCCAAAGATAATTCAGGAGCTGCTCCTCCTTCTACCACTTTGTCGTCTTCGGTTGGTGTTTCAGCATTCACAGGAGCCGCAGACATTGTTTCCTCCTCCACAATCCCTTCCTCTCCAACTGATGATCCAGCGTTTGTTAGAAGAGGCTGTTCTTCTGTCGTCACCGTGGGTGCTTCAGTGTCAACAGGAGCCTCTGGAACTGCTTCTTCGGCAACTTCGTCCTCCTCTTTCGCTGTTGATTCATCATCTTCGTTAGCCTCATGAGCCGGCTCTTCGTGTGCCTCTGTGGCCAGTTCTCCAGTGTCAATAGGAGCCTCTATGGCTGCCGTTTCTTCTGCCTTGGCAGGGGCTTCAGTATCCATAGACGCATCGGGAGCGGAATCTTCGACTACCTTATCATCATCTTGCCATGAGGCTGATTCTTCCTCTACCTCGTTAATTGGAATTTCAGCATCTACAGGAGCCACGGGACTTTCTTCCGCTGCTTCTTTGGTTCCCACTTCAGCTTCCACAGGTGCTTCAGGGGCTCCTTCTTCCTCTACCCTGTCCTCATCCTCGGCTGACGCTTCAGTACCCACAGTGGACTCATGAGCGGCTTCTTCATCTACCTTATCCTCCTCTTCGGCTGGTGTTTTAGTATCTACAGGAATCTCAGGGATTATATCTTCCTCTACCTCTACAGAAACCACGGGAGCTTCTTCTTCTGCTGCTTGTTTGGCTGGTATTGCAGCATCTTCAAGAGCCACCATAGCAGCATCTTCCTCTGCCTCTTGGGCACTTGCTTGAGCATCCACCTGATCATTAGGAACTGTTTCATCCTCTACCACTTCAGCTAGTGCTACAGGATCCGCAGGAGCCTTACGAAGTACTTTTTCTCCTGCCTTTTCCTCTCTAGTTTCTAATTTGATTCCTGTGTGAGCTTCGATAGCTGGCTCTTCGTCTGTCTTTTGCTCCTCTGCATCTGGTGTTTGTGATTTGGTTTCTTCAGAAGCATTGATAGTGGGCTCTACATCTGGTTTTTCTTCTTCTGGGTCTACTGTTTCTAATCGGCTTTCCGTGGGAACTTTAGCAGCTGTCTCTACGACGTCATCCACATCTGACTCGTCCTTCAAATTTTCCTCTACGTCGGCTTCAGCAACTTCCTCCGCCTTTTCATCCTCTTCATTTTTCGCTACTTCAGAGTCGATTATGACCGGTCCTTCGTTGTCTTCCTGAACACCTGTTGATTTATCTTCTGCAGTTGTCGCTTTCTCTAGATTATTCTCGGCTAAAGATGCCTCTGGCGTTTTCGTGTCTGCAACGGTGTCGTCGGTCGCTTGTTGCTCTGATATTGTAATAGCCTGGTCTTCTGCTTTAGGCTTCACAACAGCATCTTTCATTGCAATTTCCAAGACTGAAGATGCTACTTCAGCCTTGTCTGCAGTTTCCACAGCTGCCTCTTCCTCTCCCTCTTCGTTCTCTGCATCTGCTGTTTCTGCTTTGGTGACTTCGGGAGCACCATCTTTTGKTTCTTCCTCTGTCTTCTCGTTCTTTTCGACTGGTATCCCTGGTTCGGCGTCTGTAGCAGGAACTTCCTCTGCCTTTTTCTGGATCTCTGCTTCGTCCGCACCCTCGGCTTCGGCCTCGGCATTGCCCTCGGTTACTGCCTTCTCCTCCGTCTTTTTCTTCGTCTCGGCTGGCGCTTTTTCTGTGGCCTCTATTTTTATCTCTGATTCGGCTTGAGAACTTGTTGCTACCAAGGTTGGTTCAGATCTTGTACCTGACGTATCAAGATCGCTGTGCATTATTTGTTTTTCGACTGTACCCTTATGTTTATTAGCTTTTTTAAACATGTTGTTTTGATTCGTCTCAGTGTCAACGATGACAGGCGGAGAATTTTTAGAAATAGATTTTCGCCTTCCTTCGAACGGATCTGTTCTTAATTCCTTCAATCTGAGCTTGTCGATTTTTGATATCCCCCCTTTGTAAGTGTTCATCATAGCTCGGGTTTGTTTCTTTTGCTCTCGGTCGGCCATCTTCTGGGCCTTTAGCATGGCATTGAAATCCGCCAGATTCAAGGGAGGTCCCCTATGCTTTTCGACTGAGAAAAATGATGGAAGAATACAAGGTGAAATGTGAGAGGCATGATTTTTGTCAATCGGTGTCGTCTCAGTTTCTGTTGATCATTTGGTCTCGACGACAGCGACAGCGGTCAAAGTGTCGTCAAAAGATTGGTCGGTACAGATAGATTTTGACGCAATATCATCCTAGCTTACACATCGATTTGTCGAGAGGCATGGTAGCTGATGAGACAGCACAGCCGCCGCGAGTCGTAAGAAGGTGATGCTCAAATTACAGGGAACTATTGTTAATGGTGTCGCTCGGTGGCATAGTCAATCGTACAGCAATAAAAATAATATTGATGCTTCGTATTTCCTGTTACGTAAAGATTTTATGAATTACGGCAATTGGGATCGGAGCCATGCTGTGCCGTAGTCGTACGAACCTCCATCCTCAACATGGATGAGAACAATTTCATGTGCATAACAATCACTTCTAACGGGTCTAACGTACCCGTATGGCGCGCCCGTTCGCCACTCGACCTGAGATCCTCAAGAGCTTGACTTCAGATTTCACAGCTTCTGCCATTGTTGTACAAGTACCGTACTCTCGTGGCGGTACCGTACTCGTACATACGAACCGTAAGTTTTAACTGGTGAAATCTTTGTGGTCGCGCGCTGATAGAAATTGTTTCGGCAACGGTCAGAACCGCCGAATTTGGTTTCTCGTTTTTCCAGAAGGAAGGATGCTTGGAAATTGAACCGTGAGTGAATGATGTAAGTCACGAACCAACTCTATCCAATCATCCTTGTTTTTCTTCGTGATGAAACGAAACCCTAAACATCATGACTATCACCGTGGTACGTTAGCGTCTGAGTTCCAGAGATCATGATCTTCACTGGTCTACGACAACTGTCGCGACATTGCTCAGCACTGCCTACCTTTCAGCTACACAGAGTTTTTCCGACCAAACCATTGCTGCTACTACCAGCGAGAACGGCTCACGAGAAACGAACATCACCAGCAACCCCCCACGCCAGAATCATGTCGAGCACAACAACAACAACCGATTCCACTCTTGCCTCACGCAGCGTACAGGATTTCTGCGACATCTTGGCATCGAAGCAGCCGACACCTGGGGGAGGTGCCTCGGCTGCGGTCGGGGCAGCCGTCGGCGCAGGAACGGCGGCCATGTCGGGAGCCTACACACAACGCAAAAAGGACGAGGAAAGCGGTGCCGCTGACGCCGCCAGGACCATGATTTCGAAAATGGACATTCCGTCCCTTCTTTCCATGGCCGACAACGACGTCGAGGCGTACAAAGCGCTCCAGTCCACCTGGAAGAAAGACTCAGGTTTGAGTCCGGAACAAGTCAAAGATATCGAGGCGAACGCCCTCAAGGTACCCACGGTTCTCTTTGAGGCCTGCCACGAACGAATCGTTGCTGTTCAGGAGTTTTTGCCAAAGTGCAACCCCAACATTACTTCTGACGCAAAGGTAGGAATCCATCAGCTGGCGGGAGCCGCGCGTTCGGCGTACCAGACCATTCTTGTAAACTCTCCCCCCGAAGAGGAGAAGATGCGGTTGATGAAAATTCTTCAAGAAATCCAAGAAATCGAAAACGGATTGCTGGGGCTTTAAATTCCAGGATGAATACGAAGGAGGAGAGCAAAAAAGGCAGTTTTGCCTTTTCAACATCATACTTCGTCAGACAATCAACTTCTGCAGGAGTAGCTAAATTCAATTCTGTTGAAGAAATCAATTGTCAATGTGGTATCCAATACTTTCGTCGTGTCGAGCCCTTGAGTTCTTGATCGACTGGTGGTTGGAGAGAAGAGCGAAATTTCATTCGAAACTACCTTAGGACATTTGAGTCGATTTGGAAGCTGCACTTTGATTTTGTGGTGCAACCATTAAGCTACAGTAGTAGAGTCGTAATAATATAACATTACCATACACACAGTGTATATATCTCGCATCTGATTATTTTACTGGCTAAATCTACAAACTTGAATAAGGACTAATTGGTACATTGCGGTCTTGCAGAGCTTGATTCGAGATCGATACATCAAGAAACTATCCAGAAGCTCACCTGCTATCTGGAAAGCCAAGCAAAGCTAGACTCCATATTCCCTTCTGTACTCTCGAACCTTGTTCAGTGTTTCTTCTCCATATTCGGGGCTCTTTTCCAAAAAGACCTGCAGTTGCGGCAGGCTGACAATGGAAATCGCCGACACGTTCAGGTCTCTCTGGACCGCCTGGACCGCCGAAACGGGATCGTCGAGGGATCGCTTTTCGGCACGGTCGAGGGCGATCACCACGCCCATCATTTTGGCCCCAATGCTCTCGAGCATGGTGTGGGACTGGCGGATGGCGGTTCCGGCGGTGATGACGTCGTCGACAACCAGGACGCGCTTGCCATCGCTCATGGATGCCCCTACAAGCTTTCCGCCCTCGCCGTGGTCCTTTGCTTCCTTGCGATCATAGGCAAAGCCGACATCGATCCCGTAGTCGTTGTAGAGTGCGGCGCAAACCACTGCACCCAATGAAATTCCCTTGTACGCGGGCCCAAAGACAATGTCGAAGCTGACCCCGCCCTTCCCGTCGAGCCTGATGGTTTGTGAGTGATGAAATCAAACAAGTACGAAGAAATAGAGTTAGTGAAAAGTTCTTGGTTGGAAACATGGGCAGAAGAAAGATTGCGGTCGAGAAAGAGGTGCATCCAATGAAAGCTGTCGTGCCATCGGTATATTCTCAGAAGTAAATTGAATCAGCGAATTGGGTTTGACCGGCATCTTCCCGAAGGAATAAGGTGAAAGAAGACCAAATGTTTCCTCACTGAATATACCACGCTGACGTGTAGAGACAACAAAAGGGTGGCACCTTTTCCTCTCGTGTCTGCGTGTGTGTCTGCTTTTGTCTTCGTATTTGGGTCAGGTGCTTGTGAAAATTCAGTTCATCGCCACTCACGCGGGGGCGGATCAATAACACGGACCAAGCTTGAAGTATTCCTCATTCCCAAAACGTTCGAAGCAGAAGCAGGCACACGACACAGTTTTTCGACACAGTTGTTACAGTCATCGGTCGATTCTAAGCCATTCGTACTTACAATTCGGGGGAGTTCATGATGGCCGAGGCGTAGGCGGTGCCAAGTTTGAACAAGGCCGCACCGGAGGCAAACAAGCCAGCATTGAAAAAATACGGCGATGTCCTTCCACTCTTCAGCGTAAATTCTCCAAACCTCAGCACGTTCTGGGAGAGACTGAATTCCAGAAATTCTTTTTGGTAGGGTTCGATGGAATCGCTCGTTCCATCAGCATCTGACGATGGCGACTTCTCCTTCAGTTTATTGCGGACGGCATTGATGTTCTCCATCAGTCCCTTGGCAGCAGCACCCGGATCTTCGGCCCGGCTGATCCMCCTGGAGACCGGTACCAGCATTGCGGATCCCTGGGCGTTGCATCCGGCCCGGAAGGCTTCCTCCAGGTTTCCCCCCTGGGCCCCCACGCCGGGTGCCAGAATCCAGACGTCCTCGCCGGCCGCCTTGCGGGCCTTGCTTAGCGCGATCGAATCGGTGGCCCCCACTACCAACCCCAGGTTGCTGCTGGCAGCCCCGCTCTTGACCGACCATTGCTGCGCCAGCTTTGCGATGCGTTCGTACACGGTTTCGCCACCGGCGAGGTCCAGCGCCAGGAGGTCGTTCGATCCCGGGTTAGAAGTCTTGCACAACAAAAAGGCTCCCTTGTCGCTGTATTTGTCTGCGCGAAGCGAGGGAAAGAACATCCAAAAGAATCCGGGTGAGCGCTTCGAGGGTGCTTCGAAAATATTGGACTACGAGTTCGCATGGTCGTCTGTCACCGAGCAATTCAATTGACGTTCCAAACTCTTACCTGTGATAAAGGGAGCCACCGAATCCCATCCCATCAGGGGAGAGAGCGTCACCCCATCGGCATTGCAGTGGTCGTAGCAAGACGCCGCGTACGCCGCAGCGGTACTGCCAATGTCGCCCCGTTTCACGTCCAGCAAGACGGGGACCTCGTCGGGGATTTCCTTCAGGACCCGCACGAGGGTCGCGTTGCCGTCTTTCGCACCAAGAGCCTCGAAGAAGGCCGCGTTCGGCTTGTAGCAGGCAGCGTACGGAAGCGTGGCGTCGATGATGGTCTTGCAAAAGGTAAAGGCGGCATCGCACTTGGCCTCCTCCGTAGCCGAGGCAAAGCCGTCCCCGAGGATTTCAGCTCCGTGTGGATCCAGGCCTATGCAGAGCAGCGAATCCACCTGTGATACCCTTGCATTGAGCTTTGTGAAGAATGTTGTGGAGGACGAGGATTCTGCCATGATGGATTCAAAAGTTGTGGCTGGGAGCAAGTTATTTGTGGCGGGCGATGGTGCGTGCGATCCTAGGGCCCGGACCGAAGAAGGATGATTCACGATGTTTTGAATTTTATTTCCTTAAAGTTTCGACGCTGCGAGACCCAACGGCACCGAAATTGGTTGGCCGCAAGAAAAAAAGGTTCGAAAAACGGAATTCCTAGATCCAAACGTGATGGCAAATGGCCGATAACCTGATTGGACCCAGGATTTAACCATTCGGGAGTCAAATTTACTTCAGAGTAGTAGTTTTAGTTCATTTATCGTATTTGCACTTTAGTACTCGTAGTACTTCTACTAAGAATGCTGAACATCACGATGGCCAGGACAATGAGGATTCACATCAGATCTATAGTAGAGGATCTAACTGCCACATCGTGTTCTATGTGCTGGTAGATGCCGTTGGCAATTTGTATTGTTAAGACTGTGAGCAAAGGCTCTTCTTGTTGTGTGCAAGAAATAGGTAAAGCAAGGCTATTTGCAAGCTAGTACTAGTACTATTACTAGTACTACTAGTAGTAGTAGTACTAGTAATAGTACAAATTAGCGTTTTTAGCAACAAGGAGGGTTCCCAACGTCACTTGTAGTGCATAGGAGAAGCCTATTCCAAGATACAACCTCTAATCTACAATACTCCTCTTTGGATATCGCCACAACTTCTTCGAGATACTATATTCGATATTATTTATGGAATCGGTTTGCTTCGGAAACACAAAAGTAAACGCATTTTGTTCCTACAGAATCATCGAATCTATGGGCATTCTGTTATTCATAAACACAAAACAATCTCGTTTGAGTCACATCACACAAAAGCATCTCGTTTTGAGGTCTTTCGTTATAGTATGCTTCATTTGTTTTCTTTTCCATCGGGATCATTCGGCGTTTCTTCCATCGTTTTGTTGCCATCGCCGTTACGGACCGACATCGGATCTGTTAGCACGCGGCGGTAGAGTTCCAGATCTATGCTCGTGCTTGAGTAAAATAGCTCCATTTTCCATGTCGGCTGTATCAGAGTTCCGCTGTCGTCGTCGTAATCAGCTGGGTATTCCACCACCGTCCGAATCGCTCCGGTTGTGGCATGAACGTCGAGCTGCACGAGGACGAGATGGCCGCACGTTTTATGTTGTTCTGTCCCGACACCGCTGTTTTCGACACCATGCGTGTCGGTTGGCTCCACCTTATTTCCTATCGATGGAGGACCAATGCCTCCGGTAGTAATTTCGGCAGTGGCCCCACGGGTCAACGAGGGAGATCCCGAGTCGACCCACTTTTCGTAGAATTCGACACTATCCTCCCCGCTATCGATGCTCCCCGTAAAGGCCCACATGTACTGCACGGGAAGGTTGTCTTCGATGGCTTCGGCGGGATTATTCGGGCGTGACCTTCGTTTCTTGCCGTTGTGCCGATTCTGTGCGTACTTGATTTCTCGCAGCTTGTTGCGGAGACGGCCCGCCTCGTCCATCAGGCTGGAGGCATTGGCTTGGGATTCCTCAAGGGACTTGAGGGCCTGCTCTAGGGCATACAGTTCCATCTCGTACTGTTTCCGCATCCTGGCAAAGTACCCCGAGGGATTAGGATTTTTGTTCCACCTTTGACCCATGCGTTGCCGTGCTTGGTCGCGTCTTTCCCACATAGGCCTGAGGATGTGCTCGAGTTTCAGGGCCTGGCTGTGGGCGACCTTGAGGTATCGCTCCTTTTCGTAGATGAGATAGCTAGTTGAAACCGAGATAATGTCGGCGTCGCGTTCGAGTTGGCGCAAGCGAACATCGTTCTTCTTCTTGTTCTTGGAGCCAACAGTAGAAGTACTGGTACTAGTGGCTAGGGAGAGAGTTTTGGAAATGGTAGCATCGGCGAGTTCCAATCCCTGGGTGAGTACCACGCTGGAGGAGTGAAGAGCTTCAGCGCCGGGCAACCAATACCGTGCGGTTGCCATGAGGCGGGCTTTTTTGGCGTACAAATCCGACTGGGAGGCTTTCAATCGAATGAGGAGACGGATGGTATCCATCGTTTCGAGTGGCTGTTGCTGCTGATGTTCCTGATCGTGAGACGGTTCATATGAATTCGCTTCGGCAGAAAGATCTTGATCCATGAGTGTGTTCAAAGGTTCGAGGTCTTCTACCGGGTCGTCTCCTTCGTCTCTGTCACTATCAGAATCCGAAGCGAAGCCGGCGAATCGATTCCTGGAATAGGCCCAATTATTTCCTTGGCTCAGAGATAGATTCCCACTTGTAACTGAATGTTTTGTCTTCTGGTTTTTGTGAGGGGAAGATTTCGATGAATGAAAAGTGATTTTTTGAGGACTATTGTGGCTGGCGTCCTCCTTGTTTTCCTTGTTGAATGATGCCGAAAATGTCGTGTTTTGGTCGTCAATAATGTTTTCTTGAAGCGGATGGAAAGAAGGAGGATTGCACGGATATGGAACCCACTCCCAATTATCCTGTTGTTCCAACAATACCCTCAGGCTATCGAGATACTTGAGAGAGCAATCTACGCGCTCCAGTGGGGTGGCCAGAGCAAGATTGTTCTTCTTTCGGTGGCTTCTTCTGCTAACACCGGCGCTTTTATTCGAGTCGACGTCGCGGTCGCAGCAAGGATCATCGACGACAAATGCGTAGGAGGTAGCTTCTTGGATAGCTGCTGCCCACGGACCGCTCTGCAGGACAGTAGCTTTGTCGTCATTGTTGCTTTTGTCATGGACGGAACCAGGATTCGAATTTCTATCGACTGTCCACTTCGCCATGGTACTTTCTTTTCTTGCTGTTGCGAATATACGAGGTCTATTGATGATCAAAACAAACAATTCGATTGTGCTGGGGTAGTAGAAAAGGGGGGGCTTAGAGATGGAACGGTACTATCAGCAAAACTCAAAGCACAAGATGAGTATCAACGATGTCGACAGAACAAAGAACACAATCGATAATCAATGAGAGTGGTATTGTATCGTGTCCGTCCTTGCTACAGAACGAGTACGAACCTTCCCACACGCTTCGGTGGGAGGTAGTCCCGTCTTCGAAGAAAAAAATTCAGTCATCTCCATTGTTTTACTTTCGCCAAGGTTCTCGAAACCTTGAAGGATTTTTGGTGTCTTGCTTTCTACGGTACGAGTCCTACTGGTAAGTCACGTGCCAGTTTTAGTGTTCGTTGGATCCTAATACTGGTGGCGTCAAGATCCGTGTTCGAAACACAGGTTCTCTCTCTCAAACAAGAACCCCCTCCTGCTTCTTCAAAGTTACGGGTACAGTAGGATCAGCCATACTTTTTACGGCAATCATGACCAGAGTAGATTTCGATTTTGTCTTGGTTCGGTGCTATCCATAAAAAATAAAGCTCATAACCTGGGATGATGAAGTGTGTGCAACCGTATTCAATTGTACAAGTACGAGTACGGTACTCGCAAAATGCAACTAAAATTGCATTATCATAATTGCCTCCGCGCAACCAAAAAATAGTACCACATAGGCCTAGACCCGTATATACAGTCATACGTAAGAGTATATTACTATTTTTTTGACCGTATTGATTTATTTGTGTGCAAAATAATTAGAAGAAACGGTATTGACATTTTATGTACTACTCTTACTCAGTAGCTTGTTTGTTGCATTCTCAACCGTTGAAAACACGCACGCAGTGCAATAATACAACATGGAGACGTGGTCGTGGTGGGCTGCTTGCTTGTTCTTTGAAAACTGCACATGAAAACTTGAGCTTATTCCCCCTTCAGCACCAACAAGCAACAAGCAACAAGCAAACACTAGTAAACAGCAACAACAAAGAAGCAACAACAAAATGACACCACCACATCAAGCTAACGGACGCGGACGCGGGCCCGGAGTACACGGACGAAGACCAGTAGCGGTGCGCGGAGGAGCACGCAGAGGAGAAAGCAGACGCRGACGCAACAGGAGTCAAGAAGAAGTAATCCCCCCTAACTTGTTTAGAATTGCACTTGATGTACTACAAGAAGAACAACAAGAGGAAGAAGCTGCTGCCGCTGCTCGTCGCGAAGAGGAGGCTGGTGGTGAAGGACGCGCTGAAGGAGGAATCGGAGGACGTGGTGGAGGAGGAACGTCGTCACTTGAAGCACTTGAAGAAGCTGATCAGCAGCAGGAAGAGGAGCAACAGCAAGCTGTCGAAGCAAGACCAGGAGGACAACACAGAGGCCGCGGACGCACTGCTGGAGGAGGCCGCGGACGCACTGCTGGAGGAGGCCGCGGACGCGGTCGTGGACGTGGACGTGGACGCAGACGCGGACGCGGACGTGTTTCTGCTGCTGCTGCTGCTGGACGCGTTTCTGCTGCTGCTGGAAGCTGTGTTGCTGCTGCTGGACGCGGTGGTGGAGACAATCCCGAGGAAGCTGGTGCTGCATTGGAAGAGCTCATAAGAGTATTGGATGAAGAAGAGGAGAAGGAAGGAGATGATGTTTTTTTTGCTGAGGATAATACTGGTGGTGTTGGTGAAGATATTGGTGACGTYGATGCTGCCTCTAATGATGGAGACAGGAGCCAAGCAACAACAASAAGAAGGCCGCGTCCTGGGCAAGCTCCTAAGCCACCTCCAGGTGTTAATATTCCAGAGCAATGGCCAAGTTACCACAGGATATTCCTAAACTTCATGGATTTTGTACATGGGAAAAGAGATGGAACTTTTGATAATCCTCCCACTGAAGATACAAGATTTCCCCGGGACTATGTGTTTAGTGATGATGAGCTTTCTAACTTAACACCTGATCATGTTTATAGATTCCTTGCACTACAGGCTTATAAAAAGGAGGATCCAACTCCTGATGACAACCCTGTCCATGCTAGGTCTAATTCTGTAGAATATTCAAAGAAAGGTATTTCGTATTTTCTTCCAAACAAGAGTATTAAGTGGACAGTTCTCCAAGGTGTTGGGCATGGCAATCCCACGCAATCTACTAAAGTGAATGATTTAATTGGTGCAATTAAACTGAAGGAAACGAGGGGSCTTGGGAAGCCAACGCAGATGGATAGGGGCCTAACAAAGGGAGAGTTTTTGCAAGCATTGGATCTTTTGGAACAGCATGGTTCTGTAATAAATAGGAGGCGATTTATAGCAATGATGGTGGTGCAAATGCATTTTATGGCTCGAAATGATGATATGGCTCACATAACTAAGGATTCTTTGAAAGCTTGTTCTAGGTTCCCTGAATTTTTGACTTTGAAGATGAAGTGGTCAAAGAAYGTGAGGGAGGACAGGGACTGTCCAGACCAAATCCTGATGGGCTCAATGAATCCAAAAACATGCGCAGTACTTCAGTTGGCGTTATTTTTGGAGAAGTGGTTGCAGGATGGGAACGGTGCAGTAAGCCAATGGCTTTTTACTGAAGGAACAAGCAGTGCAAGGTCACACATGAAATTTATGAAGAAGGAAATCGAACGTGGAAAAGCCCAGTATTCTGGATTTTTAACTAGGCATGTATGGAAAAACAGTGCGTTTAATAAGGAGTTGCCAGGTAGATTGGGGACTCATTCAATTAGRAAGCATGCGGTTTCACTTTGCAGACATACTGGAATGCCAAGGGATGATGTTAATTATAGAGCTAGATGGAAAACCAATAAGATGCAACAAGATCGCTACACRGATATGCAAYTACTATGGCCAGATATTAATGCTGCAAGCAAGTTGTGTTACGACGGAGTTTGTTTGTATAAGCCAGTGAATGGGTCTGGAGTAACGGAYGAGTGGATAACWGAACAYGTGACTCCTAAYATTGCGAGTTCGTTTGGTAATCAGGTTGCAGCAATTCTAGGAAAGGCATTACTATGGGCATGCTTCGAACCTTCTCTAATTGGTGTTGTTCCAGATGATATMAGAAGGAATGTGATGGCATCTTTTGTACAGCTGAATGAAAGAGTTAGAGCTAATGGTGGTGGTGCTGGTGTTGCAGTTGATGATGGTGCCAATCCTATTCGAAAAGTTGAGATGGTGGCAACTGAACAAGGTGGGGATAT